GGCCCTTCCTCTTCCTCCAATTGTCTGAGGAATGCAGAAGATTGTAGGAGACACGAGGGACTTGGCATGACATCGCCACTGGCAAAATGTCACTGGGTTCTCCTAGGACTCCATGGTTATATAAGTGTGGTTTATTAAAATGAAGTGAAATTTACATGAGGAACGAATGAACAAAACCAAATCAGCTTAGTTCATCTTATTCTTTCACATCAAAAGGAATGAAAGACTATTGGAACCAAGAAAATTTAAGCAAGGCTCTTTTTGACAAACACTTCCTCTTTACTATGTTTCTTTTTTTTAAAAAAATTTATCTGTTTTTATTTGAAGGGCAGACTTCTAGAGAGTGGAGAGCAAGAGAGAGCCATCCATTTACTGCAAAGACTGGAGCTGAGCCGATCCAGAGACAGTATCCAGGAGCTTTTTCTGAGTCTCCCAGGTGTGTGCAGGGAGCCGGACTGTAAGTGGAACTACAGGACTTAAACTGGCGCTCATAGGGGAGTAGGCAGAGCTACTACATAGGGCGGGTCCCTATGTTTCTGACTGCAAGCAAACCCCAGTAACAGGAGCCCTCTTTTCATTCAACAGAGAACAAATCCTGGACCCTAACCTGTCCAATTGGCTTCTAACAATGTTACTGTGCTGTCAATGACTGGATGTCTCAAAGTGTTTACTTCTTAGGTTGTCAAGGCAAGGGACGTGTCAACAATCACACGCGGGACGGTGGTGGCATATTGATGGGCTGGAGGTTGCGGAGTGTTGGGATGTCCGCTCCCTCCCAGCCTACACCGGCCATCCCAGACTCCTTCCCAGCTCTGCAGACAGCCCGCCCAAAAGCCAAGACGCCATCTGCGGTTTCGCTGCTCCCTCTTGTGGACAGATCCTGAACTTCACAAAGAAGTCGTTCGCTTTTCTACCGTTGATAAAAGTTCCTGTTTCTGGATTTCTACTCTGTAATAATAAGTATCAAATAACAGCTACCAAGTACGTAAGATTAACAGTGAATATATTTTGTATCTGTACACTTAGACATATCTCTTTCATAGGTAGATAAGTATAGCCAAAAATAGATACAGGATAAACTTGATTTCCTTCTAAGTCTTTGTCACATGGGATCTCCCCAATACAATTTTAATCTAAAATTGTTAGGTGTTAATCATAAAGTTTATAAGTATACATTTTACTTTTTATTTTTTAACATTTTAAAAAACATTTTGCCACATTCACTTATAGAAACCTTACACGCATGCCCAGGTATACCATTTTATTTTCTTGAAACCGGGGACTATCATCATATCATAAAATGAGAAATTCACAACAAGGAACATGGTTTGGGAAAAGCAGGTATATTGTCACGTAAATGATCTAATCCAGAAAGCAATGTCTGTAACTGTGTATTAGTTATATGACACTTTCAAAATGTTTAAGGAGTGACACACTGATCTGATTTGATCACCACACCTCAAATACATGCATCTAATGATCACAACTTACCCCAGAAATATGTACAATTAAAATATTAACAAAATGATAAACTAACAAAAGCATTCCCACTTTATAATTTACCTTAGGCTGGATATCATTTCCTCCACTCCATCTTGTACTTTTTAGGCATGTGTGTCTATTTCTTCAGTGTGAGGTTTTTTGTTTTTTCTGAAAAAGAAATTGGCAGCATAAATCACAAACTTGATTAAACCAGCTTATATTTTCTTCCTTTTCCTATTTTCCTCCTCCCTCCCTCCCTGTCTCCCTCCTCTTTCTCCTTCTTTTTGTGATCTTGTGTCACTGCTCAAATGAGTTTTACAACAATAAAAGGTATTTGGGGGATAAAGCATACGGGAACGATCATACCTTCTGAGAAAAGCACTAGGAGGGCTGGCAGGAGCTGCTGGCAGCCCAAGGAGGCCCTTGCAACCCAGCTGGGGACTCTGCTTTGGCTGTGCTGTTTTCAGAACCCAGGTCGCATCATAGGCATACCTAGAAAGTTAAGTGGCAACGATTATATTTCATACTTTCTTCACATCGAAGTATATAAAATATATGTAAAACAATTCAAATTTATTTCAAGCAAGATAACCACACAAAACATGGCTGAATTTAAGACATGTTTAAAGACCAGGTTGATGCGGCCATTTGGATATTTGGACCAATCCACAAACAGGAACTTGTTGGACTAATTTCTCTTAATACTCTGACAATCTAACATTTGTGCTGGGGGTGACAAGAGCTACAATCACAACCAAGGAGAAACTACAGAAAGCCCTGCAGAAAGCAAATAGAGCACAAAGGCAGTAGTATCTGAGAACATTATTGTGATTTTTTTCTTAAAAGATTTATTTGAAAGGTAGAGTGACAGAGGGGAAAGGTAGTTTCAGAGGGTTCCCTTTTGCTGTTCACTCCCCAAATGCCCACAACAACCAGGACTGGACAGGGCTGAATTCAGGAAGCAGAAACTCCATCGGAGTCTGCCAAGTAGGTGGCAGGAACCCAAGCACTGGATCCACCGTCTGCTTCTTCCACGCACACGGGTAGGAAGTTGGATGTGGAGGAAACGTGGGGTGGTAAGCAGGTACTTGAACCAGGCACTCCGGTATGGGGTGTGGGCATCCCAAATGGTGCCTTAACTTGCAGTGCCACAATGCCTACCCTGTGTATGACTTTTTAAAAAATGTTATGGATTCTGCAAAGTTTCTCATCTGGATGGTGAGACGAAGCCTGCGGCCTGTGCCCTGCTGCTTAGAAGTGCAGCACAGTGGTGGGCTCCAGACGGCCACCCACCGAGCGCTTCAGCGAAACGTGGGACAGGCTTGGCACACAGCAGATCATTAAAAATGTTCTACTCATTCACTTGGCTTGCTCCTTTTTGGAAAAAAAGCAATCTTAGTAATAAATCATGACACATATGAACCATAGCAGAACTCTTTTAACAAAAATACATGCTGACAGTTGACAGTCTCGCCCATAATTTCCTCTGCTGTCAGCAGCTTCCCTTCTGGCATAAATAAGAGGCTCTTGGGGAGCAAGATTGCAGATCTAAAAGAAAGAATAATTTCCTCTCAATTGGTAACTTTAAAATTCTCTTGTCTGTCTGCTACAGTTTTCGGCCATTCCCTCTGTAATGAATTCATCCTGACAGAGGCACGTGATGGAAAGCCTCTACCCACACAGACGGGCAGGCGGATCTAAGCAGAGAAATTAAATCCGAGCATCCTAGTCCCATACGTGGGGCAGTCTCTTGACATAATGCACGCATCTGGAAATCCTCCAGGGCTGTAGGTCTTACATGGGGGAAGAAGGAAAACATGCAGCCCCAACCCCTTTGCTGGTTCTGAAAGAAGTCGCTGCATGTATTCATCCTTGAAAGCCAACTCCAGATGAACCTGCAGGCTGGCTTCTCCTAACTTTTCCAGCCCATGAGGACAGGATCACGTTTTGTTCTTTTTAAAATGGCTAACATTTACTTACGTTCCTTGTCCAGATGTTATAAAACATTTGACATCTGATTACAGTTTATCACCTTGGTCCTGAGGTATAAACTTGTCTGGTTTTGACAGAAAAGCTACCTAAAATACTGGTCTTTAGCCCTGCTCTGACCTTATGCTGTATTCGTTTCATGAAGCTATGAGACATTTTCAAAGAGTTCAAGTAAAATGAGTATAGGGACAGAGTACTTAAAAGTTTTTTGGTACCAAAACAAGCTTGTCTTTTAATTTCACCTTCCCATGAATTTTATGAAGTACCCTTACATTTATTCTAAATAATGATGTGTCCTGCATCCAGATCTGATAGGTTTTAAAGCTGTGACCTTTAGAAAGATTTATTTTTTCATTGGAAAGTCAGATATACAGAGGAGAGGGGAGACAGAGAGGAAGATCTTCTGATGATTCACTCCCCACGTGACCGCAATGGCCGGTGCTGTGCTGATCCGAAGCCAGTATCCAGGAACTTCTAGGTTTTTTGGGCTGTCCTCAATTGCTTTCCAAGGACACAAACAGGGAGCTGGGTGGGATGTGGGACTGCCGGGACTAGAACCAGCACCCATATGGGATCTCGGCGTGTTCACTTTAGCCACTGGGCCACTGCACTGGGCCCTAGAGCTGTGAACTTTATGGACCTACAACACTGTAACTATTCAGGCAGAGTACTCATCACTGGTAGAAACATCTCAGGATATTGGCCTCCTCATTAACCAAACACACCAGACGGTTAGAAAAGATATCGGAGAAGATTGAGAACTTTCTTTCCATATGATCCACTTATCTCTTGCCCTCGGTCTTTGCATTCCAAAGGTTTTAAGGGCAACAAATGCATCACTACAGAAAAACACTTGCAGAAAGGCTACAGGCAGCAGCAGGTCTCACATGAAGAGAAGGGTGGTTGACTCAGTGCTGCTGGCAAACAATACTGAGATTTCTTTAACCTAGTCAAAGGAGAGCCACGTTGTAACTGTGGCTCTGGCGTGCATCCCTGTTGAGGAGCAGGGCATGATGGGCACTGGGGAAGGTTTGGAATTAGGTACAACTCTTCGGGTTTGAAGTCAACTCAGGCAACCAGGCCGATGAGGAATAAGGGTGGAGAGAACAGAACATTCTAACCATACACTTGAAGGAAACAAATCACCAAAAACTCAGTGAGGGCTATGAACTCTTCAAGAATCGTTGCACTGGAACTAATTCTTATTAGTGAGGTTTCTTATTCTTTGCCCAACATCCTCCCGACCCGCACTGCCTACCTACGCTGGCCACTGGAGACTAGAGTTCTACAGAGCAGGTGTGCATACATGGCAGGAGCTGATGCACGTTGAGCCGTGTCTGCTTTCAGAAATGAATCTCAGTGACATGTTGCCTTCTGTTTTGGTAACACATACACAGAGCGCACTTGGTCAAGGATAGATACATACGCTATGGCTTATAAGGGCGCCTGAAAGAGCATAACAAAGATACATACACGTGTCTAGTACTAGAGATGACTTTAAGAAATCACATCATAGCTCAAAAAGATAATTAAGTTAACCTTTATTTATTCCTTAAAAACGAACTTTCTAAAATATTAGTAAATTTCGTTCTGAGCTCTGTTTTGAAGTTCTGATACCACTGCAGTAACTTTTTTCTTCTTTTAATCTTTTCATATAAAAGTAGATGTTTCTCTTTTTCTAAGATAGCAGGAAGTTCCTTCCAGTTCTTAACAAAGATGAAGGGAGCACCCATGGACTTGAGCAGCTGCAGAGGTGCCCCGTGCTGAGCAGAAGTGTTCCCACAGCTGCCGGCCGTCATCACATCTTCTACCACAGGGACGGAGCCGTAGGAGCAGGCCTCATATATCCTGTAACATTCTGTGTTCACGCCTGCCGGGCACAACGTGAGGTCACTCTGAAGTAAGGCCTCTTGGTATCGCTTAAGACTTGCAAATGTTTCTTGAGGCAACCACCTATAAAATCAGAAAGACAACTATAGCTCTCACTTTATTACGCTATCTTTTGTGAAGGAAAAGGTTTTAACTTAAAAAAAAAACTTTTTTTTTGTTTGTTTGTTTGAAAGGCACAGTGACAGAGAGAAGCAGAGGCAGAGAAAAAGATATGTTCCAGGGCTGATGTATTGGTTCAACTAGCTAAGCCTCCATCTCCAAGCACTGGGATCCCATACAGGCACCAGCTCATGTTCCAGCTGCTCCACTTCCCATTCAGCTCCTTGCTTAAGGCCTGGGAAAGCCATGGAGGATGGTCCAATGCCTGCGGCCCTGTACCCACATTGCAGACCTGAAAAAAGCTCCTGTCCTCTCTAATATTTTTTATTTTTATTGGAAAGGCAGACTAATGGAGAGAAGAGAAAGAGAAACTGGTTCATTCCCCAAGTGGCCACAAGGGTTGTTGCTGAACCTATGAAGCCAGGATGGGATGCCCATATGGAATCCAGGCACTTGGAGGCGGATGATTAGCCAATTGAGCCACTGTGCAAGGCCTAAAAATAAGCAAGCCTTAAAAAAAAAAATAAGAGAAAGAAAGAGGTCTTCTATCTGTCGGTTCACTCTGCAAATGGTCATGACAATGTGAATTGGGCTAGGCCAAAACCAGGAACCAGAGTCTACACCTGGGACGCGCATATGGCTGCAGGAATCCAAACACCTGGCCATCCTCTGCTGTTGTCTCAGGCACGTTATCAGGGAGCTGGACTGAAGTGGGAGAGGCCAAGACTGGTACAAATGCTCTGATAGGGACCTGGCATGAGGGCTGCTTAACCTGTTGTGTAGCAACACCAGCCCAGATTTTAAACTTTAATGTCAGTTTTACTATATGGCAATGGTAATGGTTATAGAAATGACAGGCATAAAAGAGACTTAAAATAATAGCTCAATAAAACAATTGATAAAACAATTGATAGCTACACATTTGGAGAACTTGTGGTCATAACATTGCTGAAAACCTAACAATGTTTCAACATGTATTTTGAGAGTTCCAAGTCCCCCCTTTCCTATTTTGCCCTCATGGGATTTAAATTCTATTGTAAGTGATGGAGAGTGGAAAGTAACCAAGTAATAACTAATTATTAGTAAGTTATCTAGAAGGTATTAGATGTACGGTGAAAAATAAAGCAGAAGTAGGTGGGCAGTTTCCAGGGGGTGCAGGCTGGAGCAGGGCTGAAGGCTTAAATGCTGGAATCTGCAAAGGTTTCATCGCAGTGGCCTCTGGGGAGCTGGGAGTTGGAGGCACAGCTCTGCACGTCTCAGGGGGCAGAACAGGGCAGAGTACCTAACGGGAGACCTAGACGGAGTTCTGGGCTCCTGGCTTTGGCCTTGCTGGATTCTGCATTTTGGAGGCATTCAGGGAATGAACCAGTAGATGAAAGATGCTCTCTCTTCCTCTCCCTCCCTGTCACTCTGCAGTCAAATAAATATTTACTAAATGCCACTAGCTTATTCAAAACCAAGATAAACGTTTCCAAAATTACTTCCATCACTCCATGAACATCTGTTTCATGATTACTATGTAGAAATGGAAAGAACTTAATCCTAGTAAGTCTGTTAGTGCACTGTCCATTCATCCATCCACCTACTCACCACTGATCCCAGTTCACCCTGTGAGGAGTGGTTCTATGTTACATCTGGGGAATACACTGTCCTACCTGTCCTTAGGAGGGTGTGCCAAGTATAATAAAGACCATTGAGAAAAACCCTAACATGATATTTGCCAATGACAATTACTAATGTTTCACTTCTAGATCAATTACAGTCACAGGAGTCTCCTCCTTTTAAACATATACAGCCCAGCAGTCTCTTTACAGCCTCAATTACTAATGCATTTTCTGGGGAAGGATCGCACACATGCAATTAACTCTGTTTCCCTGGAAACTTTCTATGCTTCCACATAAAGCAACTTTCAGACTGGAGAATAAAATGGACGATTCAAGTGAACACAGTACTTACTGTTCTCTCGTTGAAATCAAACAACTTGCATTGTTCTTATCTTGCTTCAAAATGTCCATTAGTGCCTGTCGAGATGAATTTTCATAAACGGTTCCTAAGAAATTACACAGGTAACGCCGCCCTTCGTACACCATTGACCAACTTGTCCTCACTAAAGGAAAATTCCGGTATCTATAAAAATTAAGCATATCTGAGTTAAAAATTCCCATAATGCAACCTCTTAGATATGGAGGACAGAATTTATGCTTGATTTCTGAACTTCAAATTGCAATGTTCTACTCTAACTCTGAAAAAGTCCCTGAGCTCTACGACTTGAAAAAGTTACACACTGGGATCTCTTCAAAGGGCTCAGAGATTCTGGGCCTAATGTTTATTATGCGTCAATTAAAAATAAAGATCACAGAACATACACTGCCATAGCAAAGAGTTCTGAACAGTTAATTCCAAGAACCTCTTCAGGTATTAAAACAAGCACCCAATCTGTATGTCACACTAGGAACCTGTTGCAACCGACCCATTCTTATGGACATTTGGACATGAAGGAATCAAACTATATGCCTGAACAGTCACCTTCACATGAGGTGTAACGGTCTGCAGCAGTCAAGAATAAGATTTCATCGCCTTAATATCTAACTGCCATTTTTGGGCAGGTAATTTCTTTCCGTGGAATTTGTTCATACAAGATATTTAGCAATGTCCCAGCCCACTACATGTCTGCTGTGACAAGCTCCTCCTTCCAGTTGTGGTGATCAAAACTGCCCCAAAATGGCCAAGTCGCTCTTGGAGGACAAAACCAGCTCTAGCAGAGCTAGATCCTTAAGAGACATACTGGCTTCCAGTTAGGTTCTGTAATGTTTCTGTGAAAAAAGGAAAATGTTTTGAAACAATTTACAAATGGAGGCTCTGCTTTGGGGACAAGTTTTTACAGAGGGTCCTAAATCTATTTTGTGGCTACAGAAAGGCTACATGTTGAGGAATCCTAGGTGTCACTTAGCTGACCCCTCCAATCACAGAATGGATCTGTGCAAATTCAGTCAGTCCTAAACACTAGGGGACAGTGCACTCATGATGCAAGTTTTGTTGTTGTTCTTGTTTTTAGTTTCAATTAGGTCAAGTCTATCACTGTTTTAAAGAAAACCTGGTATTCTCTGCTTGAAGATCTCTCCTACGTCCTAGAGTTTTAAAACAAAATTTGCTCATTTGCTCTTATAAAAAAAAAAAATCACTCTAAAAACATTATTGTCACCAAAGGAAAGCACCCCTTATTTCTGTCTCTAGGGAAGACTGTAACTGCCCTCCACGATGCAAGAACTAAAATACTCTGCAATTTAAAACACAACCTACCAGACTTAGAAATGGAAATTTGTGATCTCACGTGGTACTTACGTTGCCACCCCTAAAGGCCACTGAAACACATCCACGTTATTAATCCAGGGGCTGTCGTAGATGAGAAAGAGCAGGTCCACAGGGCCTCCATTTCTCTTGAGGAACTGGCTGATCCAGTCATTTTCACAATGTTCATTGCCGAGCAAAACCACCACAAGATGCTCGAGTTTTTTTGTTTGCACTAAATTTTGTGCATAAAGTAACCACTGGGTGGCATAGAAGACCTTGGCTTTCTCTCTTCCATTTAAAACAAGTACCACGTTACTCACGTCAACGGAGAAGTACCCTGGGGCTACTGCCGGCCCAGTGATGAAGCTATGGAAACAGAAAAGAGACATATAAAACAGAACGAGGGTATTTGGTGTCAGGTGTTCTAAAATCACTTTATAACAAAATCTACAATGATACTTAATACAATATTATTTCTAGAACTGAAATTTCCGTAATACAAACTCCACCAAACAAGTCTGAATGATGACACATGGCTTCAGCTGCAGACAGATTGATGGAGACATGGCAGACTTTTTTTAAATGATATTTTAATTCATGAGAGTTATGTTTCAAAAACATTTTTAAGATTTTTAAAAATTTTAATAAGAGAGATTTATAGAAAGAAGGAGACATACGGAGAGAGATCTTCCATCCTCTGGTTCACCCCCCACATGGCCATAATGGCTGGAGTTGGGCTGGTTTGAGGCCAGGAGTCAGGAGCTTCCTCTGGGTCTCCCATGTGGGTGCGGGGTCCCAAGGCCTTAGGCCGTCCTCTACTGCTTTCTCAGGCCACAAGCAGGGAGCTGGAAGGGAAGTGGAGCAGCCGGGATAAGAACTGGCACCCATATGGAATCCCAATGTGTGCAAGGTGAGGGCTTTACTCACTAGGCTACCGTGCCAGGCCCTAAATGAACTTTTAAAGATATCCTTGTGCACAAATCCATTAACACATTTAGCTCTTAGTCTGTGTGCTTAATAAGAGACACTAATGTCCCTTTCCAGGGAGCATGATAACTGGCATGAGGAGATTTTAATAATTATTTGACAGAGAATGAATCAATGGGGAATGATCCTATCATAATATCAAGGACACTCAGCACACAAACAAACAAAAAAATCCCCAACCCCCCCCCCGCCCCGCCAAATCTGTTTCATTCAGAAACAGAAAGGCCCAAAGAGCCTAAGTAATGTTGATTAAAAGTAACAAAGATGAAAACACTGAACAGAAAACTTGGTTTCCACATGCATTGTAGAGCTACAGTAAACCAAACAGCATGGAACTCGCACAACACAGAGAGACCCCAGGAACAAACCCACATATGCAGAGTTCTGATTCTTCACAACCACTAAAAATATACACTGGGTAATAGTTTCTTTAGTAAATGGTGCTGAGAAACCTATATATCTATATGAGGAAGACTGTAGTTTGACATCTCTATCTCTCACCCTATACAAATGTCAACTAAAAGTGGACAAAACTGTAAAACCAGAAACTATGAAATCACCCAAAGAAAATGCAGGGTAAATACTACAAAACAGAGTTGGGCTCTGAGTGTGTTAGGCTTCTGCCTGTGAGGCTCACACCTCTATTGGTGTGTCAGCTGCAGTCCTGGCTACACTGCTTTGGATGCAGATTCCTGCTAGCACATCCTGGGAGGCAGTGTAGGAAGTGTTTTGGTCTCTGCCAGCCAAGCTCCTGTTTTCAGCCTGGCTTCATTCTGGCTGTTGCAAGAATTCAGGTAGTGAACTTGTAGATGAAAAATATCTACTGTTCTGCTTTTCAAGTAGATGAAAACAAATAAGCACATTTTAAGGATTTATTTGTTTATTTTTAGAAAGGCATATTTACAAAGAGGAGAGACAGAAAACAAGATCTTCCATCCACTGGTTCACTCTCCTAGTGGCCACAATGGCTGATCCAAAGCCAAGAGCCAGGAGTAGCTTCTGTGTCTCCCACATGGGTGCAGGATCCAAAGACTTTGAGCCATCCTCCACAGCTTTCCCAGGCAGTAAGCAGGGAGCTTGATCGAAAGCAGCTGGATACAAGCTGTCGTCCATATGGGATGCTAGTGCTTACGGGCACAGGCCTATTGAGATGTGGGTGGTGGTGGTGGTGGTGGTGGTGGTGTGTATGTATTTTAAGCCAGCACAGTGAAGTTTTTGGGACAAGACCACAAAAGCATAGAACCAAAAGCAAAAATACACAAATGGAATTATATTGACCTATCATGTTTTTGTACACCAAAGGGAAAACCTGCAGAACAGGAGAAAATATTTGCAAACTGTTAATTTGACAAAGAATTGGAATTCATAATATACAACACTTAAAACTCAACAGAAAAAAAAATAATCCAATTTAATAATAAGGAAAATTGTCTGTTTAGATATTTGTCAGAAGGAAAAATAAAAAGGCCAACAGGTATATTCGGAAATGCTCTTTAGTCATCAGGGAAATGTAAACAAAGACCACAGTATTAACTCATTCCAGTTCCAATGGCTGTTATTAAACAAACAAACCAAAAACCACCAACCACAATCCTCTCATCCTCCAGAAACAACCAAACGCAAGAAGGGGAACTCACACAATGCTGGTGGAAACGTATATTAGTACAGTCGCTGTGAGGAAAAGTATGTAAGCAGCTCAAAAAACAAAAAATAGATCCACTGTATTATCCAGATATCCCACTTTTGGGTATATATCCACAATAAAATTAACTTACAAAAGAGATTCTTGTATTTCCATGTTTATTGAAATCCATTCACAATATAGCCAGAATATGAAATCAACTTAAGGAGCTGGCATTGTGACATACTGGGCTTAAGTTCTAACCTGCAACATCGGTACCCCATGTCTGTGCCAGTTCATGTCCCAGTTGCTCCATTTCTGATCCAGGCCCCTGCTAAGGAGCCTGTGAAAACAGTGGCAAAAGACTCAAGTGACTGGGCCCCTGCCTTCGATGTGGGAGATGTGGAAGACTCAGATGAAGCTCATGGCTCCTAGATTTGGCTTGGCCCAGCCCTGGCTGATTTGGCAATTTGGGAGGGGAGGGGAGAGTTGGTAAACACATGTACAGAAGACCTTTTTCTCTGCAATTTTGCCTTTCAAATGAATTAAAAATTAAAAAAAAAAAATGTACTTGAGCACCCGTTAATGGATGAATGGAGAAAATCTGCTGTATGAAAATAATGAACTACTATTCAGCCATAAATGAAACAACACAATCCTGTCGTGTGTAGCAAAATGGATGAAACTGGAAGACACCAGAGTAAGTGAAATAAGCCAGACACAGAAAGACAAATGTATTACATCTTCTCTTCCACATGTGAAGGTTAGGAAAAAGCAATCTGAACTTATAGTAGTAACTACTTGAGGGCTTGGAAGTGGGGGAATACAGGGAAGATGAAAATGGGTATCAAAACAGGGATCTGGGAGTAATAAGCTCTATTTCACCACAAAGTGGTGGTAACTACAGTTCACAATAACCTACAAAACATTATTTTAAGAACTACAAGAGGGGAGCTCAAAAACTCTGAAGATAAAGGGGCCGGCATGATCTCACAGAGGCGAGTCCTCTGCCTGAAGTGGTGGCATCCTTTATGGGCGTCAGTGCGTGTCCTGGCTGCTCCACTTCTGATCTAGTTCCCTCCTTACGGCCTAAGCAAGCAGTGGAGGATGACTCAAGTTCTTAGGACCCTGCATCCAATGTGGCAGACTGGGAGAAAACTCCTGGTTCCTGGTTTCTGACCAGCTCAGCTCCAGTCACTGCGGCCACTTGGGGAATGAACCAGAGGATGGAAGATTCACTCTCTCTCTCTCCTCTTCATCTGTCTTTGTCTACAGAATCTGCCCTTGAAGTAAAAATAAATAACTCTTAAAAAAAAGGACATAAACTGATTATAACTCTTACATGATAAAAATTAAAATGCTCCCAAGGTATAGAAAGTGAAAATTCTTGTCAACAAACATTAAAATACGTAGAACATGAACGTTTCCATATAATCAGATAAAAATGAACAGACATTATTCAAGCAGTATTTTGCAGCATTTGATTTCATAAGATGTTCAAATAAGCTCTAACTATAACCATATACTCATCAGACTTATCTCATGAAATACATAAAACAGAAACATTTTATATATTGCTCTTACATAAAATATTGCATAGCAACACATCAAAGATGAACGGGATACAATCAGTACCTGAATTCTGTGTTTCCTACGACCGACCTTCCTTCTCTCCACTGAGAGGTCACCTCAGCGGGCTGAAGCAAGCCTTCAAAGATGTGCTCCCACAGATAGGAACCTGCCACCGGCAACAAAAGCACAACACATTACGGTCTCATAAACTTTGGTGATAAACGTTCAGTTCCTGTTTTTTTTTTTGTCCTCGGACTATGAAATCATAAGTTATCCCCTGTGGTCTGCTGGCTGGCAGTGGTACCAAGCTAAAGCTCATTACTATCGCAGCTAATGCACGAGAGCTCAGAGGCTGTCAGTGTAAGACGTGGGTGGGCTAGATTCCAACCTCCCCCACTCTAGATTTGAGAGAGCTGTATTTAATCCGGATCTTTCTGACTCACCTTATTCTGAAATGAAATGCATTTTATCACAAAGGAAACGTCCACACGATCAGGACTGCTTTTGTATTCTAACAAACGATGAGATTTATCACTTTGCTCCAGACAAAACCAGTGGGGCTCAGTACGCACATGCGCATTCAGTATGCCAAGGGGCTATTACCACCTTCTCACTGGAAACACACACCCCTGCCTTTTGCGATAAACGCAGTGCGTCTCCAAGTGGCATCATGGGTTACCTGGGCAGGCCCTATAGAATCACACGAGGCTCCCAAGAGGGAAGCGAAATGTGAATCTTACGATTTCAGACTTGTATATTCAGAAATCTCAGATAACAAATTGTCTACTCTGAATCATTAAATTAGTAGTGATCTGTTATATCAGATACAGGAAATTCTATGTTCGAATGGAACCAATACATGTGACACACACAGGTCCTTTAAAAATATTTATTTTCAATTTTTATTTGAAAGGCGGATTTACAGAGAGAATATGAGACAAAGATAGAGATTCTCCATCTGCTGGCACACTCCCCAAGTGGCTGCAATGGCTGGAGCTGAGCTCATCCAAAGCCAGGAGCTTCTTCCTGAACTCTGATGTGGTACAAGTTCCCAAGGGTTTGGGCCGTCCTCAACTGCTTTCCCAGGCCACAAGCAGGGAGCTGGATGGGAAGTGAAGCAGCCGAGACACAAACTGGCACCCATGTGGGATCCCGGCATGCCAGGACTTTAGCCAATAGGCTACTGTACCGGGCACAAAGTACTCTCCGGGGACGCACAGTCTGCATGGAAGCCTGAGTGAGTTTGTAGGACACTACCACACCAGCACAATGTGGCTCGCTCCGCTCCCACCTGGCACTTCCACATCCACTACTGTACACAGCTCCAAGGCAGGCGGAAGGTCCAAGAGAGCCGCTTCCCCTCTCCCCTGCTCACTTCCTGCTGGCTCTCCCATCTCAGCGGGCCGCTTTCCAGTTAGGCAAACTAAACTGATGCTACTTGAGAGCTACCATTTTCTGTGGTTAATCAAGTCTGGTCAACAGCACGCTCTGTCCCCTTTTTGGACACTTAACAACGAACACTGGCCTGGTAAAGGCTCTGGGAGAGCAAGAGCTGCGAAGAACCTGTTAATTCTGTTCAGTGTGTCCCGAACTTATTAGGTCATTAAAGCAAGGGCCACAGCTTACATCTGTATATCAAGCCCTACTAAATACACAGGCCCATGAAAATTCAGCTGACATGCCACATTCTCATGCATTTGTCATACTATCTATTATTTGTTACTACAAAGCTGGGAAATGCTGAAGACCAAACAATGGAATGTAGGTTATTTGTTCTGATGCTGTTTAATGAAAAGGAGAGCGAAAGGTGCAGGATATCTGAATTATGTTCCAATTATGATTTGCTGCATTAATGGGCCCATCCTGGTGGTATAGTAAGCAAAATTCCTTCCTGCAATGCCCGCTCCACAGCCGCCGGCCCGAGTCCTGGCTGCTCCACTTCGGCTGCAGCCCCCTGCTGAGGCCCCAGTGTTTGGGCCCCTGCACCTGCCGGGGGGACACTTAGATGAGGCTCCTGGCTTCCGCCTTGCAGGTGCTGGGCACTGCGGCTGTCTGGGGAGTGGACCAGCAGATGGAAAATTTCTCTTTTAAATGAATCAAAGTGCATTTTACAAGTCTCTGTCACTACCTATGACTTACCAATGGCGGCTTTCCCCCAGATTTGCACACTGAGGTCTGGTTTTCTCGTGGATTTACTTAGTACTTGAAGTCTAGCTTTAAGTCTGAGTCGTTGCTCATTCCTTTCATCTACTTCCCAAGGGTTCCATTCTTTACCTTCCAAGGAAGACTGTTCTGTTTTAAAAAGGAATAACACTGCAGTTGTAAATCCCACGTATTTCAATTAGCCGCATTTCATCCTAACTTCAAGTATTCAAAGAGGGCAAGCCACAGAATTTGAACAGCTGCTTAATTCCTGTTGAGTCTTTCCTCTGAATAAATAGAGGCTCCCGTTTTCATGCAGAACAGGAGGGTGCCTTAAAGGCCATCTAACACGCGCTTTTACACTGTGCGCGACTGTGGCCCCCGGATGAGCAGCGCCCTCCTACACCGGGCCCGGGCGGACCATCGAGGCCGGAGGAGGGCTCCGACCCCAGGCCCACTGGGCCTCCAGGCCCCGGCGCTCCGCTCCTACCTCGGCCGCGCCTCTCCGGCGCCGCGGCCGCCCCTCTCCGGAGCCCGCGCGAGAACGCAGCTGGCGGCCGGCCGCGGCTCCGGAAGAACACTTGGTAGGCGGCGTACAACGAGAAGAGGCAATAGAGCGCGACGAGAAACGAGCAGAGCCGCTTCCGCGTCAGCCGCATCCCAGTCACGCCGCGGCCGCCGGCGCCGCCGCGGAGCCGGACGGGAAGACTGGCTGCGCCCAGCGGCGCCGTCCTGAAGGGGACTCGGCCGAGCCGAGGAAGGAACCAGAACCTTCTCCGCCCGCGGCTCCACCGCCCGCCCAGGCCCCGCCCAGCCCGCTACGGCCCCGCCCCCGCACCGACGTAGTCCCGCCCAGCCCCCCGCCCAGCCCGCTCAGGTCCCACCCCCACCCGACCTTGGCCCCGCCCAATCTGTCCCAGGCCCCGCCCCCACCCCGCCCTAGGTCCCGCCCCATCCCAGGCCCCTAGGTTCCGCCCCAGGCCCCGCCCAGACAGCCTAGGCCCCGCCCCACCCAGGTCCCAGGCCCCACCCCTACTGCTCAGCTCCCAGGCCCCGCCCCATCCTGTCCTAAGTCCCGCCCCATCCCTTGCCCCTCTAGCTCCCAGGCCCCGCCCCGTCCCAGGCCTATCCAGGCACACAGCCTGGCTTTGGGTCTGCGATAGGGAATAAGAAAATGGTCGGTCTTCCGAGCTGCTTCGCGTATTGGAACTGAGTGCGAATTTCTGTGAGCTCTACCGCGTCACCATTTCACTTTTCTACCTTCACGGCCGAGTCCTGCGTGTCTGGGAAGTCTTTGAAAGAAACAGCACCTGCACAGGTGTGTGAAGGTCCTGCGAAGGCGTGAAATGTGTGTTCTTCGTTCAGTGTCCATTAGAAGGAGGCTGTTGATGGATGAGTGAAGAGACATGGTGGTACACAATGCGCAGTAATGTGAAGGCCGTTAAGGCCGCTCAGTTGTATGTTGAAAATGGTTAAAACGGCAAACTGCATGTTCTATGTGCCTTACCACAATGAAAGTATGAGACAGTTGTAAAGGCATCTTATTGGCATCTTTTCATCTTTTTGTTACTGTAGTTATTTTTTAAATTGGAAAGGGGGGCACTCGCCAGTGGCAGACCGGAGCCAGAAGGCAGGAACTCTGGGCTCTCCCAGCTGGATGGCAGAGCGGGCATGTCTGTCTCCCGTGGTTCTTTAGCAGGAAGCTGGAACTGCCAGATGGGACTTGAATCTAAGCACCCTGACATGGCATGGAAGTGTTAGAAGTGTCCGCTGTTGCTATATTCATTTATGTTGGAAAGTCAGATTTACAGAGAGAAGGAGAGATCTTCCATCTGCTGGTTCACTCCCCAAGTGGCCGCAATGGCCAGAACTGAGCCAGTCTGAAGCCAGGAGCTGCTTCCGGGTCTCCCAAGCGGGTGGAAGGTCCCAAGGCTTTGGGTCATCCTTGACTGCTTTCCCAGGCCACAAGCAGGGAGATGGATGGGAAGTGGAACAGCCAAGATACGAACTGGTGCCCATATGAAATCCTTGGTACATGCAAGGTGAGGACTTTAGCCATTAGGCTACCACTCTGGGCCCCTCAAAATATGGGAAAAAAAATTATTTTTTATTGCCATGAGTTGAAAGCACATAAATGTGCAGTATTTTCAAGTAGCGGCAACAGAATGGAATGTTAAGAAATTTTTCTGTTTGAGGTCTCGTGAAATTGTGCTGTAATGTTTGCTTGGCTGTGTCTGGCATTACCATTCAAATTGTCTCATAGCCTGAGAGCTTGTAGGATGAAACTGTGGATTTTCTGACCAGTTTAGCTTGGCACGTAGTCTGGGCCCTGTTAACCTCTCTGCATAGAGTTCCTCTTGTTTGTTACCCAAAACTGAACCTTCCCTGAATTCCAGGATCTCTGATTCTGTGATTGGCAGGAGCTCGCATCTAGAAGGGTTAGATATTTAACCAAAGTTCATACTTGGTGAGTGGCCGAGTCCAGGATCTGTTCTCAGTTCTATATTGTTGCCTCTATAATAGTTACGCTCTGACTTCATCTTTTGCTTAATCCTGTTAGTTCTTAATAACAACCGGCTGCGTTGAGTTTAATCACACATCCTCATGATCTCATTTGGCTCTGGATAATGCTTGGTTGTTCTTGCAAATGAAAGTCATGATCAGATACTAGATCTGTGGCACTGTTGAGGATATGAAATCAAAGCCACCACTCACGATGCTAGCATCCCGTATTGGAGTGCTGCTTTGAGTTTTGGCAGCTCTGCTTCTGATCCAGTCTGGGCAGACATTTGGGGCGGGGGGTGAACCAGCAGGTGGCATCTCTCCTCTGTCTCCTAAACAAAAAGTTTAAAAATAAATTGATCTATACTAGCAATCCTTTCTATATGACAGTCTTTCCAACCCATGAAGTTCCACATTCACAGACTCAATCAAGGCTTGAGAATATTTGAAAAAAAATGTGCATCTCTACTGAACGTGTACAGACTTTTTTTTCTATGGCCATTCCCACATAAAGCATAGCAAACATTTAATGGCATCAACATTTTATTGAGTATTTAAAGCAATGTGATAGGAAACATGTAGTTTACAAGCAAACACTACACACAAAGGATTTGAGCATCCACAAATTTGGGGGTCTACCCTGGATCCTGGAACTTCAAAAATGAGGGGTGATCTTATTTTATGCCTATCCTAATTTGCTAATGTGCCGCAGGCATTTAGTATTTGTGCCACATACAGAGTATTCATTGGGTGTTGAATAGAAGTAGGAGAAGTTTTCTTTGCATGAATATAAATAATTTCTCGATTTTTATCACCTGTGCGAACTCAAGGTATTTAGCCCATTTACTATACTGTAGCTAGAGACCCCACAGATGTCTGTAATTCATTTGATAGTGTTCTTAAAATTACAATTAAGTGCTGGTTACTTACTTTATAATAGTAATTGCCTTTGATGCCATAATTAATGATATATCTGCTGCTTCAGAAATAGCAAAGATTGCTACTTGAGGTGAACTGTTTAAACAATACAACTGATCAAAATGTCAGATCAGTCACCAATATTTCCAAATGTTAATCCATGGAGTAAGTATGAATGAATTAACATGCTTGGTTATCCTGTGATCAGTTCTTTTTCAGTAATTAGGATCTGAGATGTATTATTTTAGAGAAATTAGATCCTGTAACTTTCCAGTTGAACTGAAGTTTCCTGTACCTGTTTACAAGTAGGTGCAGGTTGAGCTCCATGGCAGACATTTCCTAACCCTTCTGGGTTGTTTGCTTCCCAGTGGAAAGGTGACACTCCTGCTGTCGAGTAGAGTTCACATACCTCCCTCCCGACTCTGATGGCCCTTTGTGACATCCAAGGTTACATCATAAAGGGTGACAGAGCTTGTGGTTAGTGCTTTGGCACACTTCAGTTCCAAACACAGCTGCTCTGTTGGGAGGAAATCCAGGTCCTGTGGAGGCTATGACAGGTGTCTAAGACTACAGTTTTGTGGACTTTGCAGCCCATAGCCAGAATGAATGCAACATGGGAATGAGGAAGAAGATGGCAACATCAAAGCTCATCAAATTACACAAGAGAGGCAGTTGCTTCTCTGAGCCAAGCTAACCTCCAGAACTGTAAGAATTAATGAGGAAATCATTGCTCTGAGGCTCTAAGTATTAGGGGAACACAGTATATAGCAGTAAACAACTAGGCTGAAGCTTTCTGATTTCCTAAGGAGGCTGTTGTGCTCCAAGGAATTCATAGCACCCTTTAGTTTGGGGGAGCAGGTCTCTTTCTTACCATCTAACACCACAGTATGGAAGGAGAAGCTGAATTGGACTGCCTGTCAGGGAACAATCAGTGACCATTTTCTTTCAGGAATCAGTTCAGGTGAATGGGAAAACCACAAAAGCCTGACAAAATTAGGGAGATATTCCAAAAAAACAAGGCCATAGAAGAAGCAAATTACAAACATTATAAAATTATAGTATCCTTTTAAATATATATTTGAATTAACTGAAGACAAGGATTTTTATTCATGCTGTACCCTTAAGACCTACAATAGAGTAGAATACAGATGCTTAATAAAAATAAGGTGAATGAAGGAGTGGAATGGCTTCTGGTAGAAGAAGCACTTACATTTGTTTCTTGTGGCTACGATTAGATGATGTTTTTTCTTTCTCTTCATTTTTCTACCATGATTATTTACGTAAAATACTTGTAAAAGGTCATAGTGCCTGATTATAGAATAATAAAAGCTATAGGATATATTCATACACACATATAAAATATTTTCCTAAGCCGAATATTCTCTTAGAAAAAAGATGTATAATAATAGATATCAAAGCAAGAATGTATACTGTCTGATTCATTCCTATTCATTTTTGGGTATTCTATGTTGGCTCTTACAGATTAGACAAAACATATTATATTCATCTTTTGGGGCTAGATTATGAAGCAGACGTCTTGTGATTTTAACCTTTCTAAAGATTTATGTACTTGAAACGCTGAGTTACAGAGAAAAAGAGGAGAGAGAGAATCTTCCATCTGTTGGTTCACTTCTCAACTGACAACAATGGCTGGGAGAGGGCCAAGCTGAAGCCAGGAGCCCAGTGCTTCCTCTGAGACTCCCATGTGGATGTAGGGGCTCAGGCACATGGGCCATCTTGCACTGTTTTCCCAGGCACATTAGCAGAGAGCTGGATCAAAAGTGGAGCAGTCTGGACCAAACCTATGCAGCATTCTAGGCTGAACCTGTTACATCACAATGCCGCCCCCTAGTGTTTGTTTATTTTACTTACTCCTGAAAAACTGAAAAACTGGTTTCTCTGCTTTTTACTTATTGAATATTATAGTTAGTGGTGTAGTAAGCCTGTGATTACAGGGTGAATTAAAACTATGTTGTTGTGGGGAAAAAAAAGGAAAAAAGGAGAGGAGTTGAGGGAGGAATAGGTAGCAGAAGTATAATTATTTTCTTACAATTGTACTTATGAACACATGAAATCTGTTCATATTAGTAAAATTTAAAAAATATGTGAAATACTGCTACTAAAATTTAAAAGTTTGGCACTGGTACTGAAATAGTGAGTATGACGGAATAGAGACCAAAAATAAACTTAGATGCATATGGAAAATCATGTATAACAAAAGTAACAGTTCTTTTCAGTTGATAGGTCTTAACTGGTTTTATTTGTGACTCTAAAATGAGGCAACACTTCATTCCA